ACGTTCTTGAATTGTACGAGTTTGATTATATTTAATTGGCATTTGAGTTGGACTCCATCTTGCACTAGAAATAGGCCATTCATCTTGTGCATGTGCTTCAAGAATATAAATAAAACGAAAATTAATATATTTACAATAACGATTATATAATTCAGATAATTGAGACATAATAGCTCTTAATGGTGGTCATGAATATGATCCACTGATTAATACGATTGGTGAAGATTTTAATCCATCAAATAATTGATTTTCTTGTTCATCGAGATGAATTACTGGAACATTAGGTGCAATATCACCGACTTGTAAATCTCCATCTCTAGCTCGATTATATTTCGTATAAAGTGGAATATCTTTTAAATCAGGATAAATTTGTGTTGCACATCTTAAACACAATAATGCATCATTCATTTCTTCATCTAAATGAAATTCTCGAATAACTTGTCGTTGCAACTCATCAGCTACATCTAACCACGACGTAGACGATGATGTTTGTTCTGCTTCATAAAATCGTTTTTGATATTCATCTGAGATACGTAATTCATTTTCTCGAATTAACATAAGTTTTAAAAGACTTTTTGGAATAAATGATTTTGATGGCTTTGTTGCCTATTAATCAGACAAAAAATAATATAGAATAATTCTAGAGATTAGATTTGAACTTACATTTGATTTTATTAATTCTTCATATGTTAAATTTCTTCGACCACTAGTATAATGTACCATACCCATTTTATTGCTGTTATCGTTGTAATCATGCCTTTTTATACCGATTGTTTGCATGTTGCAATAACATGAATCATCAATAAATATTGACGTGGTGACATGTTTATTGTTAATTCAAAACTTAGTTCCTGGTGTGTAGTTTTCATAATAGATAATACGTAATACATTTTATTAACCCTAGAAGTCCTAGCTGGGTCATTTCTGACCCAGCCTCCGTCAAATTTTTATACAATGAAGATGTTTTATTGTTTTGTATCTTTCAAAAACAGGATGCGAGATGAGTACAGGATGACCTTAAAACGCAAAAAAACGGCTTGGAACTCCTAGGATTCATATTGCCTAAGTAAGACATATTATCAATAGAATGATCGTTGACATGTGTAGATGCCTCCAAGAATCCGAGTTGTTATACTATCATTTAAAAATACATATATGCCCGATTACAATCCATATCTTTTTTTTTTTTATTTAAAAATTAATTTAAATCTCATATAACTTTATTTCTCTTATAAAACAAAAGACATTGTTTTAAATAATGAAAAAAAAAATCAATATAGATTTTATTGTTCCAATTAAATTGAAAATTTGTTTGTCTTTATTTTTTAATAGACAATATAAACATCGTTAAGAATTTGTTTATTTTATGTTAAAATAAGAATTTTTCTAAATCTAAATATTATTCATCCATAGCTAATTGAAATAATTATCATTTACAATATTCTATTTACTTATCAATTCTAAACAATTGACTTGTGGCGTTATCTAGAATGATCTAAACCTATGAGAAAGAAGGTCAATGGAAAGAGATGTCACTGAATGTTTTCTTTTTTTTTTTTTCGGGAAGTCATTCATCAATATATCAGAATTGTGTTTTTCCATTCGACATACATATATAAATATACATCTATACATCTTATTGTTTATATTTCGATATCTCGTAGGTTAATGTAAAGAAAAACAAAATGACTTTTGAGAACTATTGTTCACCACCTGAAGCGCCTGTATTCTATCCAACATGTGATGAATTTGCTGATCCTCTTGAATATATTGAAAAAATTCGTCCGATTGCATCACGCGCTGGACTTTGTAAAATAATTCCACCCAAAGTAAATATTATATATTTTTGTTATGTTTCTTTTTTATTCGAATAAAAATAATTTGAAAGGAATGGCAACCACCATTTTGTGTTAATGTTGATGAATTTCGTTTTACACCACGTATACAACGTATCAATGAACTTGAAGCTGGTACACGAGCAAAAATAAAATTTTATGAACGTTTAACAAAATTATATGATTCACAAGGAGTTAAATTAAAAATTCCAACAGTTGAAAAAGAAATTTTAGATTTAGCAAAATTACATAAAGTTTGTTTTTTATTTTTTCATGATCAATAATTTTGTTTTTTGTTTATGATTAGATTGTTAAAGATGAAGGTGGATATCATATTTGTTGTTCACAAAAGAAATGGGCTACCGTTACACGTAAAATGAATTTTAATGATACACAAACAAGTCGTGTTTTGAAACAACATTATGAAAAATTATTATTATCTTACGATGTTTATGAAACAGGTATTTATGAAGAACAAACTGATTTATCAAATCAAACTGATTCGAAAAAAGGAAAAAGTTAGTCTTGTTTTTTTGTTATTTTAAGAATTAATTTTTATGTAATCTAGTTGAATCGAATGGAACAATGAAGAATGGAAATAAACGAAAAGATAGTTCATCATCTATGAATAATGTTGATCCAGTAAGAAAATATTATTTTTTTTCGTTAATGAAATATAGTTGTTCGCGTAAATAGATGACCTTTATGATAATTATTTTTTTAATAATGAAATAATTGATGAAACGAATTGTAGTTTCGGTAGAAATTGAAAAAGATAGTTATGACATAAAATCAAAATCGTTGATTATAAATAATATGAGAATTCTTCTTTTTTAGTTTGCTAATTTTGTATGTAAATGTTGTACACGTGGTGATGATGATAATTATTTATTAATATGTGACATATGTGATAATTGTTATCATACATATTGTCTTATACCATCATTAGTTGAAATTCCTCGAGGTCAATGGCGGTGTCCAAAATGTGTTGCTCAGGTAGTATTTGTTTGCTTATTAAAATTATATGATTTTTTGCTTTTATTTAGTTGTATCATACAGCATCACCATCGGATGCATATGGATTTGAACAATCAGGAAAAGAATACACATTGGGAGAATTTGGAGAAATGGCGGATGAATTTAAACGAAATTATTTTAATAAACCATTATCAGTATGTTTTTTGTTTGACTAATAGAAAAATGATAATGATTAATTTTTAGGAAATAACGGCTGATGATGTTGAACAAGAATTCTGGCGTATACTTTCATTACCTGATGCATCAGTTAAAGTTGAATACGGTGCAGATTTACCAACTGGTGAATTAGGTAGTGGATTTCCTACATTAAAAACAAAAGATTTAACAGAAAATGATAAAGTAATAATAAAAAGATTTTTATTTTTTTTTCGAAACAATTTATTTTCTAGAAATATCTCAATTCACCTTGGAATCTCAATAATTTTGCTTGTCATTATAAATCAGTTTTAAAATATATCAATGCTGATATATCTGGAATGAAGGTACATACATAAACATTAATAAATATTTTTATTTTTATCACTTTTTTTCGAAAATAAGGTACCTTGGGCTTATGTTGGTATGTGTTTTTCTTGTTTTTGTTGGCATGTCGAAGATCATTGGTCATATTCTATTAACTATCTTCATTGGTATATGAAAAAAAAACAAAAGATGTAAAATTTAATTTTGATATTATATTAATTTAGGGGTGAACCAAAAACTTGGTATGGTGTACCTGGATCAAGTGCTGAAAAATTAGAAAATTGTATGAAATCTTATGCACCAGAATTATTTTCTAAAACACCTGATTTACTTCATCATCTTGTAACTACAATGAATCCATCAATATTAATACGTGAAGGTGTACCAGTTGTTAAAGCTCAACAACAAGCTGGAGAATTTATTGTAACATTTCCTCGTGCTTATCATGCAGGTTTTAATCATGGTTTTAATTTTGCTGAAGCAAATAATTTTTGTCCTGCTGATTGGGTAAGAAATTTCGTAAAAATATAAATGAAGGTTTATTTTTTTTCATTGGAAATTTTAGCTTCCGATGGGTCGTTGTGCAATAGATCATTATAAAGAAGTTAAACGATATAGTGTATTTTCACATGATGAATTAATCTGTAAACTTGCATCGGAATGTCAATATCTTGATCCAGCTATTGGTGATGCGACAAGATTTGAACTCGATTGTATACTTCAACAAGAAAAAAACGGTCGAAAATCAGCTTATGAACAAGTTTGTTGAGATTGATTTTATATTTAAAAAAAACTTTTTTTGTTTTTCAAGGGAGCTGAAGATGGTGATCGAGTTTGTTTTGAATTAATGCCTGATGATGAACGGCAATGTGATGCTTGTAAAACAACTTGTTTTCTTTCAGCTGTATCTTGTTTATGCAAACCAAGTATGTTTATTCTTTTATTTTTTCTCAAAATTTATTTTTTTTTCTTTTAGATATTCTCGTTTGTATAAATCATATTGATCAATTATGTTCATGTGCTCCAAGAAAATATTGTTTATGGTATCGATATACACTCAATGAAATGTCGGATATGCTTGATGCATTACGTGAACGTCTTAATCTTTGTCATAAATGGAAAGGACTTGTTAATCGACTTATCTCAACCGATCATCAATCTCTTATCGGTAATAAAATAATCAATCGAATATATTCTAACTATTTACATAGTTCTTAATTGAATTGTGAATAACAAAAGAATTATATCATAAAGTCAATAATAGTTTAAAGTTAAGAGGTTTCCGTTGTTTTTCAAGGACTTGTTTTGTAAATCATAGTTCATCCAACGATTCTTTGTTTGACTAATAATGATAGCTGTCATTTTCTTTTATAGAATTTAATGATATTGAAAAACATACATCGTCTGGTGTGTTGTGTTTACGTGATGATATTCGTGTAAAAATGGAAGAAAAATTAATTGAAGCTAATGAATGTCGACAAATGGCAAAAAATATTTTAAAACGTGTTGCATATAAGTAAGCGGAAAAATAAAAATAATCAATAAAATGTTTTTTTAACTTTATTTTCAGAACTGAATCCTTAGAAAATTCTACGGATGAAGATATAATTAAAAAGAAAAAAAGTTCTGATAATAATAATGAAAGTAAAATAACGTTAAATGATATCAATCAATTAAAAACTCGAATTAAATCAATTGGTATTACATTTAATGAAATGAATGCTATACAAGTAGATATTTAAAAATTTGTATATAATTTAAAATCTTCGTTTTGTTTTTTTCTATTAGAATATTTTAAGTGATTGTCTTCGTTTTCAAGATGATATTAAATTATTACTTCAATCTGAAAAACTTCAATCCACAGATATTTATTCAAAATATATTGAACAAAGTGAACAATATCAAATTGATTTACCAATTATTGAACGATTGAAACTATTCTATCAAGCTAGTATATGGTATGAACTTGTACAAAAAACCTTAACTCGAACAATACCACCAAGTAAACTTCGATCATTAATTACATCTGGACAAGCATTTCAAGTTTTACATCAACAAGTACAACAACAAATTAATGATTTACAAGTACAATTACAACAATTAGAATTTTGGGATGAAAAATGTCGACAACTGACAAAAGAAGAGTAAGTTATTAGATTTACTATGAAAACACCGAAAGAAAAAATGTCGAAGGAAAAAAGTCGAAGAAAAAATAGCCGAACGAAAAAATATCGAAACTTCTGAGATGTCGTTATTAAAAAATACTGATTTTCTTTCCATCTTGACGAAGGGTGTGGATATTTGTATTCTTCTCATTAATACCCAGACCCACACCACCTACACCTATACCAACATCGTCACCCACACCCTCACTCACACCCGCATCCACACCCTCACCCACACACACACCCTCACACACACACCCTCAAGGTGTTTACTTCTTCATCAGATATTATTTTCCACTGATTCGACATTTTTCCAGTCGATATTTTTTTTCTACTCGATATTTTTTTTCGACAATCATTTTTCTATTCGACATTTAATCCTTCGGCGTTTTTAGTACATACCAGTTATTAAATAAAGATTAGAACATTGAATTATAATTTATTTTCATTTAGACCACGTCCGACATTGGATACATTAGAAAAATTTGTTAAAAGTGCTGATGAAGCTAATATACATTTAAATTCAATTGATAAAATCAGAACATTGATTGTTGATTGTCACAGATGGAATGAGAAATTTGAACAAATGCAACAAGGTGAACATTATCCATTTCTTTCGTCTTATGAACAATTATATGAACAAGCTCGACATTTTCATATTGATTTGGAACCATTAAAATTAATCGAACAAACTATATCACAAGCACGTTCATGGCTTGATAAAACACAAGCAATTTTTCGTCGACCAGATTCAACTTTAACATTAATTGAGGTTTGAACAAATTATTATTTCGAAAAATAAAATGTTTTTTTTTTGATTTTAAATAGATGATTTTGCCACGTATAAGTGTTACACCAAAAACAATCACAAGAAAACGACAAACTTCAAAACGAACAACAGGTGATGTACCAATTAATGAATCAATTGGAATATTAGACGATACAATAGCCAAAGTACTTTCAAGTGATGAGAATGATCCAGAAACTGTGGTAAACAGGATTAAGAATAATAAATAATTCATTTATATATTTTTTCTTTAGTATAAAGTTTATAAAGAAGCAACAATAAAAGAAATTGAATATCTTAGTGAATTACGTGAAACTAATCAAAAGAAACGTTTAGATTCATTATCAACTTATTGTATATGTGAAAAACCATATTCAGATGTTATGCTTCAATGTGATTTATGTAATGAATATTATCATCGTATGTTAATAGATTTAAATTTTCATATAAAAAAATTGTTTTATTTGTAATAAGGCCATTGTTTACCATATCATGGATCAGATGTCAGTACTTCTGTATGGTGGATATGTGATTTTTGTATTCGATCGCGACGACCACGTCTTCATGATGTAGTTAAACTTCTTGGAAATTTACAAAAATTAACAGTTCGATTACCTGAAGGAGAAATCTTACAATGTTTAACAGAACGAGCGATTACATTGCAAGATAAAGCTGAGTATGATATATATAATGAATAGAAAGAAATTTTTGAAAAAACATTTATTTTATAGAAAATTTCTTGCATCACCAATCCTACGTGAATTAAGTACAGTTAAACAAGAAAACAGAAACATAAAGGTAAGATCGAATGTAATATATTCTCTATTAAAATGTTTTCTTTTCTTAATAGGATGAATTTATCAATGATCCAAATCGACAACAATTTCGAAATTTAGAATCTGAAAGTAAATTTTATTGATTTTCTTTTCATTAATATAATTTTGCTTAATAGCACCTCGTCTATTGAATAATTCGGCTGAAAGTGAATTAGAAAGTTTACTTATTGAAGGTGGTCTATTGGAAATTTATGTGGATCAAATAAAATTACTTACAAAATTAGTTAATTCATCACGACGATCAAATTTATCATTAGATGTATGTTTTTGATTTTTAATTTTAATAAAATCTCGTTTTTTTCTATTAGAAACCAAAAGTAACTCGTGTACCACAAACAGAAAAAACGAAATCAACAACAATACGCAAACGAAAATCATTTGAAATTCTTACAAAAACCGGTATGGAAAAAAAACATAAGGAATTCATTGTTAGTTGAAATTTTTTTGTTCGTTTAGACAAGACAATTCGACGTAAACGATCTCGAAAATCATTTTTACCAGATCAACGTTCATCAGAAAGTCAAATCGGATCATCAGCACCTGTTGTTTTTGTTTCATCTATGATTGATATTCAACAAACATTAATAAAATCTTCTCCTAAATCTGATATTGATCATGATAATAATCCATTATTGATATCTGATGATGATAATGAACAAACTAAGAAGGTAACTATTATGGGCGGAGGTGAAGATGAATGTGCAGTTGATAGTGGAGCATGTCTAAAACCAAGTGGATCATCAATTAAATGTAAATATTATTTTGACCAAAAATTTCGTATTAATATATTTATTTAGGGGTTTGTTGTGATGCATGTGAACGATGGTTTCATCTTGTTTGTGTTGGTTTAACAAGTGTTAAGAAAAAAGAAGAATTTAAATGTACACGATGTAAACAATCAGCATCTATATCAACAGTATCATCTTCTATATCAACTCCACCAATTCCTCTTACATCATAAAGAAAAGAAAAATCTAACTTAATTATCATTTGCAATCAAATCAAATCTCTTGTCTATCTGATTGTATTTTTCTTCTCTCCTTGTCGTTTTGTTTTTCTTCATAATTTAAAATTTATTTCGTATTTCGTGTCAGATAGACAAAACAATAACATATTCAACAGGCCATATGAATAGTCATGTTTGATCTTGTCTTAAATGACTCGAAAGAAAACACCCAAAGCAAAAAAAAAAAGTCGAGGTCTTTAAAAAAATGTGGCGTTTGTTTGTTTGTTTTTCTTCTGTCAACTTTATCTTGATATTCAGTTTTTTGTTTGTTTTTCGGGATATTGACAAAATCATTTATTGTAGATAGAAATTCTTTATTTGTTTGTTTATGTGTGTACGTCCCGTCTATGTTGTTGTTCCAGAGAAAATAGAAAAACAAATTTTTCTTTTACTTTAAAAAAAAATGAAAAATTAAATTATAGATGAAACATGCGTCATATATATTCTTGATTATATAAAAAGAAAGGCTTTATTTTATAAGAGAAAAAAACAGTTCAATTAAAAATCATAGAATCTATTCAATCGGATGGAATAATTTTCAATTTTTTTAATCGATCAAAACATTGAGCATAACATTCTGTTGTATCGACTGTTACAGTCCAACCATATTGACGTGCATTTGTCATATCACCATGATCATCAAATGCTCGACCCAGAACAAAATCTAAAAGAAATCTTCGAAGTGTCATCAACTTTATATATAAATCATTCTTACCAATAAAACCCCAAGTAGCATATTCAGAAGCAGAAGCATCAAGTTTTTCACGTTTAGCAAGTCGTTCCCATACATCTTTGTTTTCCGATACATATTTCTCTAATGAGAATTGTAAAACATTCATATCTCCTATTTTAGTATCTTTCGGTGTATGAAATGTTTGTTCATAATGTGTAAAACCAAAATATCTAATACATAACAAAAAACATAGAAATAAAATGAAACGAATAGGTTTTACTTTTCAATGCTGGACCATAATGTAGAAAATTTAACTTCATCTCCATTATATATATTAAATATTTCATTGTTTATTTTGATATTTGTTGATGACCATATTTGAAAACGTGCTGTATTTAATGCATCCGAATGATCAACAACTGAATTCCAGAGAATTTCATTACCAGGAAAAACTAATGATTGACCTTTTTCTTTTTGTATACTAGCATAAATAGCAAGACTAACAGCAAAATTCATAGCATTTCCTTTCGATGCACCAACAATAATATTTGGTCGTGTTATAACATATTTCCAGTTATGTTTTTTAGAATATTCTTTAAGTAAATCTTCTTGTGTATAGTAAAAATTCGAACCTTTATGACGAGGTGCATGTTCTGAATAAGGACGTGATGCAAGATATTCACCACCTTTATGAACACCATAATACTAAAAATACGATTTCATATTAAAATAGAAGAATAAAATGTTATTTTTTTATACTTTATAACCAGTTTGAAGTGAAACACATTTGACTTGTTCACCAGCTATTTTAACAGTAGCATCCAATGCTTGTTGAAAAAGAATTTTATTAACTTCATCTAATTCATTTTCATCTTTTTTTTCAATATATGTATAATGATATACATGAGTAATGGATTGTCCACCAGCTTTTAATAATTCTGTAACAATTTCATCAACACTAGATGAAAGAACATCAATGGAAATAAAATAAATTCGGTCATCATCAACATCTAATTGTGTTGGTCGTCGAGAAATACAAATAATTTTACTCCATTCATTTCCCAATTAGCAGTTTATTCGTATATATTTTTCGTCTTACTGCCTTTATCACTCTTTTTCCCTCCTATATTTTTACCCACATATTGTTTCGCTTGGATTATTTTGTTTATTCTCTTCATTGAACTTTTGCTTTCCTCTCATTGTGTATCTATATAGATAGAGAGAAAAAGAGCTTTTTCTATTTTTGTTTTGATCACAAAGACTATCATTGTTTATATTTAGCTTACACAGATAATAAGAAAAACGTGAATTGAAATTGACACGTGATTTAATCTTTATATTGATAAACGCTATTGTATTCAACATGCGTCTGTTACGGTTCGTTGATTCATATTAGCGAGTTCAGTTGTCAATACAAAATACAATGATTACTGTTCGAACATTTTGCTACCTCGTCTTATAGAGGTGTCAAATGACTGGGAAATTGAAACTCTTGCTTAGTTCTTCCACATTTTCTTGAGTATTGAGATTAAAAAAATTATTCTGTCAAATGGCCAATTTCTATTTATCAGTCTTTGGACACTGTTGGCTTGATAATGATATTTCTTACATGAACAATTAAATATACGGAAAGATAATAAAGAAAATTATGTTTATTAAAAACTTTCTATAAAAGCAATTATAATGTAAATATATTTTTACTATGAATATCATGATCATTTATTGTTTAAATTGATAGATCGTTCAATAAAAATATCTTTACATGTGTAATGTAATAAATTTGAATATATTTTTCATATTGATTTCGATGAAGAAAAGTTCGACTATAACTTCAACTAAGTGCAATATTTGTACGTTCCAGGTCATGGAGAACATTGGTTTATTGTTCTATTTTCTTTCTCTATATGACGATTCTATATAATTTTCTTTATTGACGTGTCTGTCTGTTCTACCAATGGATAAATATATATTTGATATATCCGACGAAAGAAAAGAAAATCATTCATTTCATTATTCAAGATGGTTCAAAGTTAGTAAACTATTTTCTGTTAAATTTAAATAAAAAAATCCTGTTTTTTTGTTGTTTTTATTAGGTCCAGTAATGAACAGAAATGTTCATATTGATGAAACTGGTAACAATAATAAAATAAAACTTCCTTTTGAAATATCAGAACATAATATCGATACAACTAAGATTACTCCACGTACTAATTTACGTGTTTTTCTTTCCTTAACAATTGGTTCACTTGGAATTATATTTGGTGATATTGGTACAAGTCCATTGTACGTTCTTAATACAATATTTGCTGAAAATTTACATCCAACACCGCAACAATGTATCGGCGCTATATCATTAATTATTTGGAATTTAATTATAGTTGTAACAATAAAATATGCAATATTTATTTTAATGGCTGATAATAATGGCGAGGGTGGAACATTTGCACTTTGTGGTTTATTAACAGGTGAAAATAGTAAATTACGTGCTCGTGCTAAACATGTTGTTAGTATTATTGCTATTCTTGCTGCTTCATTATTAATTGGTAAGAAGATAAATTTGATTATTGACAAATACGTTCATTTTTTTTGTTTGTTAAAAGGTGATGGTGCTATTACTCCAGCAATTAGTGTTTTGTCGGCCATTGAAGGTTTAGCTGTAACATCTGAATCACTTACTAAATGGGTTGTACCAATAACAGTTGTGATTATTATTGCCTTGTTTTTTGTACAAATGTTTGGAACATCAAAAATTGGTAAAAAAAGAAATTTCCTTTTCTTCCGTATTATTATTATGTTAAGAATATATTTCTATTAGGTTTAACATTTGCACCTATTATGCTTGTTTGGTTTGCTGTTATCTTTTCAATTGGTATTTGGCGTATTACATTTGATCCGACTATTTTACGTGCGTTCAATCCATGGGAAGCAATATCTTATTTAATTCGAGAAAAAAAACAAGGATTTATTCAAATTGGTATAGAAAATAATATTAAAGAATTAATTTTAACATATATATATTGTTTTATAGGTGGAGTCTTTCTTTCTGTAACAGGTCTCGAAGCACTCTATGCTGATTTAGGTAGGATAAATATTTTTGAATTGAGTCTTGATTTTTGTATTATAATTTAGGTCATTTTGGTCGATGGCCAATACGAACAAGTTGGTTAGCTGTTGTATTACCATCTGTAATGGCTAATTATCTTGGTCAAGGTGCGTTAATTATGCATCATCCAGAATATATCTCTAGTCCATTTTATAATGCTGCCCCAGCATGGGCACGATGGCCCATGATTGTTTTAGCAACATTGGCAACAAGTAATATTTATTTTTTTTTGTTACAAAGTATAATTTTTTCTATATTATATTGATATTATTAGTTATTGCTTCACAAGCAATTATTACAGGTGTTTTTTCGTTAATGAATCAAGCATCTTCTCTTGGTTTTGCACCACCTTTACGTGTTATACATACAAGTAAAAAAGTAATCGGTCAAATATATGTTCCTGTAAGAATATGTTCAATTGTAGACAAAAAAAAAAGTATTTTTATTCTATCATTTTTAGGCAATCAATTGGATAATTATGTTAATAACAATAGCTATTACACTTCTTTTTCGTAGTAGTGCTAGTTTAGCCCATGCTTGTACGTTAATTTTAATAAGACTTAAAAATCATATTAAATAATTCTTTCATAGATGGTGTCACTGTTTGTTCAGTTATGTGTATAACAACAATACTTTATATTTGTGTTATGCGCTATGTATGGAATCATCATTGGTGCTTTGTTCTTCTCTTTGGTGTATTTTCCATAATCGATTTTTACTTTTTAGCAGCGAATGCAATCAAATTTCTTGAAGGTTAGTTTTATTAAAAAGATAAACTATTCAAAATATGTTTTTTTCTCTCTTCGGAATAGGTGCATGGGTCGCTCTATTAATTGCTGTACTCTTTTTTCTAATTGGTTTTTGTTGGTATCATGGTCAAACACTTCTTCGTCGATATCTTCATGTTCATGCTCAAACAACTGCTCTTGTACAATTATCTCATCGTCTTGGTATAGAATCAACAAGTGAACCAATCTTAACACCAGACAATGGATCATTATCACGTCGAAAAACTTTACCAATTGAACATCAAGCTGCAAGTAGTGATGAAGATGATGATGAAGAAAAAAAATCAAATCCAAAAATAAAAATACTTCCACCAATATCTGATGGAGATGGTTCTTCAATAAGCAATCGTATATCATTTATTTATAATGTCGATCATACAGAGATTGATACAAATTCATCTAGCAAAACTGTTTGTACAGTAACACCTGGTCTAGGTGTTTTTCTGACGACATCATCAAGACATACACCACATGTATTCGAACGTGTATTAGATCGTATGCACGCGGTATGTTAATAGATTATATCTTCTTCTTATTTTTTCTTTTGATTTTAGCTTCCACAAATTGCTATTTTTCTTAAAATGGAATATGCACGTATACCAGTTGTTGATGTCAGTCAAAGATTAAAAGTTCGAACATATGGTTCTGAACAACGACGTATTTATCATATCACAGCATGTTTTGGATATTCTGAACATAAAATTCAATTACCTGAGATGTAAATTAAAATTTTTTCTTTTTGAAAAAACAACTAAACTATTTATTTTATTTAGTTTAAAATTAGCTGCTAGAGATCATAATATTCCAATACCTGATGATCGTAATGTCACATTTTTTATTCCAGCTATATCAATTCGTGTAAAACACAAAGGATGGCGTTTATTTTTTACTAAATGTTCATTAATTATCTATTCTGTTTTAAAAAATATGTTTCCATTTGGTCAAAAAAATTTACAACTTCCACATGATCAAACAGTTAGTGTTGGTATGGTTGTACCTTTATAAACATATAAACAAAATGATAGTTTTTTTCTATAGTGTTTTTTTTCTTTATTATTAATTTAAGAATTCTTCTTTTCTTTTTCTTATTCTTATAAATAAAAATTAGTTTATTCATCTTTTATACTTGACCACAATCTGCTATAACAACATTAGCTCGTGGTGTACCTTCATCTGTACCAACACTTTCCATTTTTTTAACAATATCTTGTCCTTGAAGAACACGTCCAAATATAACATGTTTACCATCAAGCCTAAGAAATAGAAATATATGTCTTAGAGAAAATGAATGTTTTCTTATTCAATACCATGGCGTCGGAGCAACAGTAATAAAAAATTGTGAACCATTTGTATTTGGTCCTGAATTTGCCATTGATAATAAAAATGGAACTTCATGTTTTAAACGAAAATTTTCATCAGGAAATTTTTCACCATAGATACTTCGACCTAAAAGTATATAATTAGAAGAAAAGAAATTTTTTGAAAATATTATCACAACCTCCTGTCCCATCACGTAAATCAAAATCACCGCCTTGAATCATAAATTGAGGAATAATTCGATGAAATGGACAACCTCGAAAGCCAAAGCCTTGAGTACCTGTACATAATTGTCGGAAGTTTTCTTCAAGAAAAAAATAAATAATAATTTTATATCGAAAAATTTATTTACCTGCTGTTTTTGGTACAATATCAGAAAAAAGCTTAATAGTAATATAAATAAATATTAATCGAAATTATTAAAGAAAACAAACCTCAAAAACAACAACACCTTGAGGTTGTCCGTTAATAGCAATTTTAAAAAAAACTTTTGGTCGTTGCATTATTCAAACTAAGATTGAGTAAAAGAAAAACGACAAAAGTTAAATTTATGAATATATAATGATTCGCTTGAATGAACATATTACTTAATGGACAAAGCGATAAGAAGAAAATGATTTGAATGAGTAGAATATTGATCAGGTCAATAAACACATCTATGTGATCATATGATCGAGATAAAATCAAGTCATCAATACTTCATCTAGACAGTAATGGAATACAAAGTATATCAGAATTTTCATAATAACATGATGATGCTTTTTCTCGGATTAATCAGAATAGAAGTTACATCGAAAAAAACTCATAAGCTATTGTTACTACTCAGATATATTAGTGTAGATATACTTAATTGATTTCTTTTACCTTTGGCGCTGCTCTTTTATTCATTCATGACTATAAATACTACACAAACATCGAGTCGTTCTGTACGTCTCAATGTTTATTATCTAATACCTTACCGTATATTACATACTATATTCAATATAATGACATTAGGCTTATTTACTCCTTGTCATTCAGCTATAGAAATTGATGGTTCGGAATATGCTTACTATGGTCATCCATTTCATTTTAGTGGTGTTATGTCTGATACACCAAATAAAGTTTCAATGAAATTAGCTTATACTAAAATTTATGGACATACAACATTATCTAATACAGAAATTGAAGCTAAAGCACATGATTTATCATTTATTGGTATCAATTATAATTTATTTCATTTTAATTGTAATACATTTGCTGATGCTTTTCTCTATGCATTAACAAAACATCATTTACCTGGTTGGATAAATCGACCTGAACGTTGTCTGCAACGACTACAATGTATGCATCGATTATTTAATCAAACTGCAGATATTAGTGTAAAAATTATTACAGCATTATATATAAAATCTGCTGGTGATCAAAATACTATTTTCAATCTATTAGGAATCGGTATATATTAATTAAATGATAACTAAACAAAAATTTATAATTTTAGCAAATAATCAACGTTTAACTACAATTTATGAAGTAATACTTCAAGATTATATATCTTGTGGGCAACTTCCTAATTTTGAACGTTTACGTCAATTATCTGATCTTCAAATAAGAGATCATTTAATATATATCCATAATAATTTTCTTTCGACATTTTCAACAAAACAATCTATTACTTTAAATAAAATATTTGATAATCTATCTTTACTTCAACAACAATTCAAACGAATGGAATCTAAACTACAAATTTCTTCCGAGAAAAATCCATCTTTCATTATTATAGACAAAACTATTGAATGAGAATATACAACATGCTCGGAGCATTATTCCTCTTGAAAAATTCTCCATTCAGGCGTTATGATTGTTTAATTATTGATGTAGACATATACATCTCTTTTTAAAAAGCGAAGGTTGTTACTAAGAAACAAAACTTTTAAATGGACTTTTTTTTTTTATTTGATTTACATGTCTCGTTATTGACATACAAGAAACCAGCTGATTCATTCGAGTAATAAAAAAAGTACAAATTCTGTTATTTTTTGTACAATTCTATGCTACACAATCGCATGAAAAAAAAATCGATCTTGAGAATGATAAAAACGGTAGTAAAAGTAAGAAGGAGAAAGAAAACGAAATTCTTGTCAAATAATTGTATTCTGCATTGCTTGTTTGGACATATACTTTAACAAGTGTTCAATTTTTTTTTCAAATGTATATTACCATTTTTTTTCTTCTTTAGTTTATTATAGACTCTTCACATTGTTTAAATTTCTTATAATCAATACATATATTAATGAAGGTTCCTACTCGAGTAAATATATTAGAAAAAAATTAAATTAATTATTATTTTATTATAATTCCAGGTATCATTGAATAGACATAATAATACCGAAGAAAAGAATGATTATGCAAATTTTAGTCATACAAGATTAAGTAAGAATATTTTTGAGTATTATATTAGCTAATGAAGTTATACAAATGAGATTATATCAGGAGCAATGATTTCTATGTTGAACTTTAAAAAATTCTAATATTTTTTGCAAGATAAATTTAGGCGATGTTGTTTTTTTTCAACTAATAATTTTTATATTTTTCTTTCATATGTCATGCTGAATGTTTTTTTCGGAGTGTTTCCTTTTCTTTTCGTTTCTGAATATAACAAAATTATGCTTAAGCTTTTATTTGTTAAGAATAATTTTAAACTTCAATGAATTTATTGATTGGATTTGAAAGTTTGTTGTTTTAAAAGAAATCTCTTCAATGAAGATGTTAGAATAAACATTATGAATTTTATAAATACAAAAGAATATTTATACGTGAATAGGGCGTACATTTGTATATACATAGAAACTATTAATAAAGCGATAACAAGAATAAGATTGAAATTTTTAAATTGCAGTCAATATTTTCTAGTTACTACAGACATAGGATCAAGTATAACGTGTTCAGAAAGTCATGATTCAATTCAGGAGCGTGATGTCCCCGATTAAATTCATCTAACCAGGAGATATTTACTCGAGCTTTTATTACTATAATAAAGTTTCGATCATTTAAATTATTAAGAAACGAATGAAGAGATAACAATAACTTTTTTCTCTTGTTTTTGAAGTGAGAGAGAAATATTTAACAATGAATATTGTTTTCTAAAGAGAGATTATTTCAGAAACTGATACAATCTAGGAATGAGACATTTCCCACAAACTTTCTATTACGATTTTCTATAGTAGATGTTCGTTACGATCTTCCGACATAAGGAAAAAAGACAGGATGTTCGAAATGACAAAATCAATAAAAAATAAAAACAACAGGGTGTCCGTAATTAAAGTTATTTATGACAAAAATCATTTCCGAACACTCGGTCACATGTCCGGTAGTTCGGAATACCTAGTGCGACATGTCTTTATCCTTACAATCTTTCATATTTCTCTTTTCTAGTCACTCTACTTCAAATACCTCAATTTGAACATTTACAAATACTTATTTGTAATGGTAACTCATTAACAACATTAGCCGGTATTGAAAATATAAAACATTTGTGGAAACTTGACGTTGGCAACAATCAAGTATATGAAAAACAAGAAATATCACTTTCCAATATATTCTTTTTGTTAATATTAGATTCGAAGTCTACAACATTTATCACGTTTTATAGCACTTGGTTCACTTATTCTTTCAAATAATAATTTAACATGGATCGAATTTCAACATATACGTCATATGTTTATTCTCGATCTGCGTACTGATGGAAATCCTGCTCTTGATACCGATCCAAATTGTAATAAAAATGCAAAATAAATATTTTTTTTCTAATATATTTCTCATCATAGATCGTCAACATATACTCGATTGTTTACCACGAGTTTGGATGTGTGATGGAGTATTTGTTTCAAGTATATATTTATGCAGATAAATGAATTGAATATAAATTTTCGTTTTTAGCTGTGGAACGTAATCAAGTCGATGAATTTTTTACACAATCATCATTAACACAAAAACCTGTTGTAAGATATGAATATGAATGAAAACGTTCGTATGATAAAAAAAACTTTTTTGTAGCGACGGAAATTAGTACGTGATGCATTTATGCCAACAAATTTAAAAGATCGATCTGTTAATGGATTATTCGGAAGCAAAGTAGGGGTATTATTTGTATAATTAATTTAAAAATATTTATATTTTCAAAGGCAACAGAATTATTAGCGAAATTTCCAATGAATTGTTTTGTAAATCCTGGTAGAAAATTTTTTTTAATTGAAATATCAGAAAAAAATATATCGTTGTTTTATTTAGAACTTGATAGAAAACGAATAAAGCATTTAGCTTCTACTATTCAAGATTTATCATTAACTGAAATGAAATATCAACCTGAAAAGTAGGAAAATTCAAGTTCTATTTTTTATATTTAATAAAATATTCTTATTCGAACTAGAAGACATCTTGAATTTCTAACAGAAAATCGTCATAATCTTTATCGTATGATTGATCTACGAGAAGCCCATATTGAAGAATTTAATATGCTCCTTATATTACTTGTAGTAAGTTAAATATATTGAAATTCGGATGCGACATTTAAATATGAACATTTTTTTAAATAGACTGATCTTCTATTTAAAATTCCTGACGAACTATTGGATAATGTTATGGATGTTACTCATATAAAATCGATTGGGTATGAATAATGATTTAATCAAATAAATTTGTATCTTTTCTTTTCCTAGAAATCTAAATATTGCTCATGTATTTTCATCAGATGACCAATTGAAACTTATGATTGCATCACTTGTTCATGCAAGTGCACGAATTGATCGTGATGAAAATCATGTAAATAAATAATTTCGTTTAAAATAAATCTTTCTTTCTTTCTCTATTTCTTTAGCCATCAGCATTCTATGATAAACTTTTTAATAGTCTATCAGTTGTTCTTACAAATCAAATGCGGCAATTTTCATCTTCAAATACAAATCAAAATAATGGATTGTAAAAAGAAAAATTAAATATATACGTATTTCTATGAAATGTTTTTTAGAATTTCTGAAGCAAAATCAATCGTTTGTCTTGAAGTAATGCAAGTATTTATTATGTGCCCACTTTTCTATACACTTATTGATGATTCAAGTATATTTTGATAAAATATTTACTAATTAAGATTAACATTTTTCGTCTATTAGATGTAAATTCTATTATGAAACAAGCATTAGGTCGATCACCCGCTTACGGAAGTATTAAAGACGTCCTACAAAGTTTTGTTGCTGATCAAGTAAAACCTATATTTGAATAATCTATGTAATTTTATGTATATAAATAGAAAACAGCTGAAGAACAAAAAGATTTATTGAGTCCAATACTTGGTAATATATTAAAAATGACAATACGAACATTATCAACTAAACGAATGAAAAAAACGAAAGAAACATTCTCTATAGGAAATGTATTATTTGAAAAATAAAATAATTTATTCAAATAATAGTTCAATATATTTTATTGATTAGGAACCGATGATACCAGACAACGAAAATTTAAATCAACGAGTACAAGAAGAACATAAATTACCACCAAAACCTGCACAACGTGCAAGTACTCATCATGTACCAGGTAAGTGATTAAGAATGAAACTTCAAATTATTTGATTATTACAATAGATCTTGAAACTTTATGTTCTATCTATTTTTCAGCTATTGGTGATCGTGTATTAACTGCTCCACAATGTTTTGGTCGTATTGTAACGATACCAGATACTGAAATTGCAATGATTCAGTTCGACAATATTCTTTCAGTAAATGGTGCAATGATCAGTAATGGTTCATTTATTGATCATACGAATTATATTCATATGAGTGATTTCGAATGGGATCTATCACATGAATATTGGAAACCAAAATATGCATCTGGTGATAAAATTACATTACAAATGACAGCACATCGAAATGAAACACCGCGTGTAGTACCTTCTCCAGAACCACCACCACCACGACTACCATCACCATCAAAAAGAATGCAACTAAGAGTATGTCGCTAATAAGTATTTAATTTAGAATTTTACAAAAACATGTTTTTTAATTATTAGACACCTGAATCAGTAGAAAAAGAATGTGTTACACCAAAACTTTTCGAAATAAGTAAGATCTTTGTTTTATTTAAATTTAATTCAGTATTTTTATTTATATAGATCTTCACAAACCAAAGTATACATTCAAATAAATTGTAAGATATAATTATTATCATTTCTTCTGTATTTAGAGAAATATTTATTCTTCCATCACGCGACATAAGTCCTCAACCATCGCCATTACCACCTCGTAATGATCATATGGATACAAATAATAGTTCTCGGCGAACATCAAAATCTCCTTCCCCAACTCCTTCAATACATGAACGTTTATCAGTTACACCTGAAAAGTAATTAAAATTTTCTTATTTTATTTCTATTCCTTAGTTTTTTTTTATTATTCAAGAGTTCGACTTGAACGTCCAATGTCTGTTCGTATTATAAAACAAAAACAAGAACAACAAATGAAATCTTCTACTAATGGTGAAACAATCTCTACAGCACCTGTTCTTATTGAATCAACACTTTTCTTCATGCCTGATCAATGTCAAACACCAATTGTATCCTATGAACAAATGCATCAACCATCAAATCTTTCAACAACTATGAATGATTCTGAACCACAACCACCACCACCTCGTTTTATTTCAGCATTTGAACATTCTTCAATTCTTCGATCTTCATCTTCGGCTCATCATCGAACATCAATACAACGTGTTCCTGTACCCGTACATAATGTTTCACAATGGTTTAATGGACCTGATATGAAAAATGAACGATCAGGTCGAAATGAAAAAGTTGTTGCTTCACTTGTACATCGATCCTATCGACCATTATCATCATATAGGTTTAATTACATCTGAAATTCATTTGATATCATCATATTTGTATCGTTTAGTATGCCACGTGTACCAACATTAACATCACCATCATCAAGAGATCATGCTCAATATAAAGGTAGATATTTTATCAAGAAATATTTTTCAAATATAATTTTATTCTATTCAGGAACTCGTCCAGGAACTTCCTATGATTTCTCTGTAGAAAGTCATCGAATGACAACAACTCCATTTATTAATGCACGTCAAAGTCAATCAGCTAAAAAACGAAGGTTAGTCATATTCTTAATTAATAATAAAAAAAAGGAATTTGTTTTTCAAAATTATTTTTAGTACTCCATCAATGCATTCACATGAAACGAATCGTACAACTCATATTAATCCGCCTATAAATCGTGTTAAATCATTGCTCAATCCACCATGTCCATCACCTGCTTGGATGTGAAATATTATCATATATCTTATTTATTTGTGAAAAAAACAATTTTTTTATGGATTCGATCCAATTTTGATCGTGCTTATTTTGTACTATTTCGCATTTTTTTTTATAATTGAAAAAAAAACAGAGACTTATATTTGTGCCTTTATTTACAATGAAAAATGTCTTTTATTTGTAAACTGTAATTTCGAAATAAAATTATTTTCCAAGAAACTTACTCATTCATTCGAAAAAAAACGTATTTGGTTTTTTCCTCCTGATGTCATGTGTTATTTCCTACTTACGCAATGCAGAACGGAAAAAGTTACCCTTTTAAAACATATAAATAGTACTGTAAACGAAACACATTATTCGTATTAAGTAAATTTATAACGATGCCTTCACCGAACGAAATAAACGAATGTATGGTATGCAAATCTCAATTGTCAACAAGCGACTCTTATCGCTGTTCGCATTGTTTAGGATTTTATTGTAGACAATGTTTGATAAGACATCAACATAATGATATCAAAGTTAAATGTATGGATATGGCAAACGAAATTGATAAAATTCTAACACGATTTTTAAATCATGCACATAGTCAAACAGAATGGACTGGTCATTTAACAGGAGATCGAAATCAATTGGAAATTATTATTCATTATATAGAAAGCTCTCCGAAAGATCGCCCGATTATTGGTTTACCTAGTTTAAAATGGATGAATCATGTTGATAGTTTAATTTCTAAAATGTCTTTTGCTATTCATGAAAAATGTAGTACTTTATTATATTCTAATTTAACACCTTTTATTCAACTATGATACATGAAAATATCAATCAATATAGCTAAAGATTGGATCATTGACCATGGATTGTTTCATTCCAGCTTCATAAGGACCACAATAACCATTAAGTATTGGTGCAGCTGGAATACCACGTCTAATAAAAAATTGTAATCGTTTTTTTTTTTTGTAAATTTTTATATGAAATAAATTCTAACCTAAGCATTCGACATCGATGAACATCGAGACGAAATTGAGCATCTTCTGGATTATTTACATCAATTGAACTCCATAATCGTTCGGCAACACCTGATGCTCGAACCCATAGACGAGATAAACTATTTGTACCATCAACAAATTCTCCCCAAAGTGTTGTTTCAGCACCAATTAATCGTTTTCGGGCAGCATCATCACCTTTACATAAAATAAAAAGTTTTTTGTTCTATTCATCATTATAAAATAAGAAAAAAAATTTTTTTACCAGTAAAATTAGCAAATAAATCAATATTATACCAATGAAAGAATTCTAAATTCATTACCGAATCATTTGTTTCATATTTTCCATATTTAATCCTAATAAAAATATTTTAAATATTTCAAAAATACAAAAATTCTTTACATATTCAAATAAAACGGAGCTGAAAGAACAGTATCATATCCTTCACTTGTTGCTTTTGATAAAAAATAAGACCATGGTGGACTATCAGGTAAAAGTGAAGTATCTTTCCATATTCCAATAACAGTTCCCAATGGTAATTTAACTCCATCATCCCATGGATCTTGCCAGACCATTGATTTAGCTCCAATTGATTTTGCTATTCCAAGTATTTTATTTGAATAATGAGTCATTAAATCTGTTCCATTAGTCATATTATTATCTTTTAGAAATTTTTGAATATTAGGATTTGATAACCTTTAATATAATGACATATATTTATATAAGAACAAAATTTATTTTACCAGCAAGCTGGAGTTACTTCATCCATTCCAAGATGGATATATGGTTCATATTTAAAAGTATCTTTAACTTCTTGTAAAAATTCTTTCATAAATTTATATACTTCATCTTTTGTTACATCAATAATTTCGCGTGCAGCATGTTTACTATATATAGCTTGATTTGGTGTAGAACCATTGTAACAGTCAGTTAAAAACTCTAGAAAAGAAAAGTTCCTGTAATAAATAACAGAATTTCAAATAAATAAATACAAACCTGGAAATGCACGTCCAAGAGCAGCTACATGACCTGGTGAATCAAATTCAGGAATAGTACGTATACCACGAAGACGTGCATGTTCAATAATATCTTGAACATCTTCAGGAGTGTAAACATGATCAGGTGAAAATGCACCCTAGAAAACTTCTGTATGTAAAAACTATATATAAATAAAATTCTATTAAACTTTTTCGGTTAATTGTGGAAATTTTTTCGAAACAAATGGCCATGATTGATCATCAGAAAGATGCCAATGGAAAACATTATATTTGTTATAAGACATTGCATCCTTACAAAATAAAAATATTTAATTCATAATTTCAATATAAAAACAAAACTACTATTTGTTGTTTCAAGATTGGAACAGGTAGAAAATGACGTGATGAATCTAAAAGTAATCCACGATATGGAAAACGAGGCCAATCTCGAATAGTGACTGATGCATTTATTGCTAACTAATAAAAATGATATTAATACTTTTTTCTTCTATTAAATAAATATCTTACATAATCATCTTCAGTAATAAAAAGTAATTGAGAAAATGTTTCAAGACCATTAAGTGCGCCCCAAACATTTTCAGCAGTAATTTTTCCATAAGCATTTTCAATTGTAATATTATCTAGCAAAACAAATATAGGCTTCAAGACTTATTAAATTTGAAATAGACAATTATTTACAAGATTGATCATCATGAAGATCTGGATATACATCACATTTCTTTGATCGTATTTCAATTAAAACTGAAATAAGAACACGACTATCATCGAATGTATCTGGACTTCTTATTGTTAGTTTTGGTGGATAAAATAATGGTTGATAACGTTCAATTGCTTTATCAGTAATATCGCAGTTTCGTAAATTTGAATAGACAATAAAAAAGTCTGGATCAATATAAGTTAAATCCAAACTAGCATTGAGATATTGTGGTTGTGGCCATGGTGCATTAGGTGCCGATGGTGTACCCTAATAAAATATCTTCTTTAATAAAAAAAAAGAAAACAAAGAAGCGTTCTTACTCGTAATGGATATCGAGCTTCAATATAAGTAATTTCTGATTGTACACGATGTATACCAATTACAAAACAAAGGACTATAGATATGAAGAAATGTAATGTATGCGACATGATCATATACAAAACTAACTGATTTTATTTTTATCTAGTTTATATATAGAGCATTCAATATGGACTAGTCATATATAGTTACTAAGAATTATATTGCGTAATAGTAAAAACAAACAGAAATAAAGAACGAAAAGTTCATAAATTTTTATTTTACACCACAGATCATTGGACAATTTAATAAAAGGAATCGAATATATACATGTAATTGACTGTATTTAATTGTTTACGAAAACGAAAAGATCATACCGATTGATTTTTTTCCAATTTGTTTTAATGATATCAGAGTTTAATCTGTGCACATTCTATCCAATAAAAATCATTTTAAGTGTTATGTAAGAGATTTATTAATTTGAACACAAATCAATAAATAACTGTGATATTTCCCATATCTTCTCTTAACACGAAAAACAAAAATTCTAAACAGCTTAAATTCTCTTCCTTTCGATTTGTTAATCATTATATTAAAATAAATCACTTTACAGTCTTCTATTTATCAAATCGAACTATTCTGAAAAAAAGTTCATATGTCACATACATATGTGACTTTCATATGATTTATTCAATAAAGAGAAACAATTATGACTTCTGTTTGTATCATACTTGAAAATATGTAAAATACTCAATTTTCTCTTTTATCTTCGATCATTTATAAATATGCATCAGCACCTGTATGTCTTAAATTTTGATAATGTATGTGCTTCATAGATAATCTGATCTACTTGCTCTGCTTTATTAGAAAATGAATCTTTTCTCAGAATAAAAATCTCATACATCAGCATAATATCAATTTAGAGATAAATCAATTTACCAATCATTGTTAACATTAAACAATCAAAATTGACGAGAAAGAAAAAACTAGCAATCATTCGATTGTATACGACATAGAGCAAACGTAATCCAATTACGTGCTCATTCAATCGATCGTATATATATATCGCGTGTATTCAATCAACAAATATCATTATCTGTGTATATTCAAATATGGAACGTAAGTGTAAAAGATTGCTCTCTAAACTCAAACCATTTTTATGGATATCTGAAGTGCTAGGGTTAGAATAGAATCTAATTTTTACTAATTATATTAAAGGTTAACATGTATGATAAATTCTTCTATCTGATAGTAACTTTACTTGATAAGATACGATTTTTAGTAGTCTATCATTAAGATAAGACACACGATCCGTACTAATTTTAAGCAATGAGATATGACTATAAATTTCATCATAATTAATAGAGTTTTGTTAAACCCTAGAGGTTAATATATCGCTATCTGAACTGATAAACATGTGTTTATTATCTATCATCATTAAATCATGTCGTTGTATAATAGCCTATAGCAGAGGGAATATTAATCTTTCTTTTTGTATATAATATAAATCTTAATGTTGACAATATCAAGCTAGATTTTCTTTTTTTCATTCCATTTGATTAGATAAATAAAATAAATTGTGAATAATATATTTATTTACTTTTTTCTTTTTTTCAAGGTCATTCATCAACTGCAATATTTATAAGTGAAATACCTGTTCGCTGTACAGGTAATGGCGAAAAAATAATCAAATGGGTTAATAATTTAAGTAGTAGTACAACTGCTCGAGACGTTATTATATCGACGTTACCAACATGTGATCCAATAAAGTATTCATTGTATATTCATATCGATCGTAAGAAACAAATTTTGAAAGATTCAACACGAATTTATAAAGTTGTTGCTAAATTAAATCAACGAAAATCATCACGACCTTTATTATTTGAGATTCAATTGAAAAAACGTGTTAGATTTGCTGATGAAATTATTATACAAACGATTATTCAAGGACAATCTATATCACATGAAAGAATTACTAAATCAATACCAATTGAAAAACGTTTAGAATCTTTAAAAGAAAATTTTCAAAAATATACTTCACAACAACAAGAAAATTATATGAAATTATCTTCAAATTTAAAACGGTAAATAAATTCAAAAATAAATAAATAAAAAGTAAATAATTTTGATTATTTTTAGATCATCATTAAGTATAATTAATGAAAATATTTCATGTTCATCGAGTGAATCAGGTATTAGTTCAAGTTCATCGACGAATGATTTCATTAAACCAACAAAATTAGAAACACTTGTTTAAAATATTTGTTTTTTTTTATTTTTAAACTTATGCATTGTTATAAATAAATATAAGATTTGATCATATAATCATAAATGATGTAATAGAAAGTAAAAGGTGTTTTTCTTGAGGTTAATAAAATCAAGAGTTATACACAATATTTTTTCATGTTGCTCAAATTCTCTTATTAATTACAGGAAGAGAAAGTGAAATCATTCATTTGCTTGTATAGATATATGATTTATTCTTGATGGTTTACCAAGGTTAAAGAGGTCAGAATATTTCCGTTATGAATTCAATAGAGAATTAAATAAGTAATACGTTTGTATGTCTGTACATGTCACTATTCTCATGTCGTTTATTTTTCCTGCTTCTTTCGCTTCAGTTGGTGACGCAAAAAAAGAAACGATCGACAACGAAGAGTACAGAGCGTAGATAAAAAAAATGGTCTTTCTTTCTCTTCTCTGTTTTGCTTGCATTCGTTATTTACGATTAGCGGCAGCAGCAGCAGGCAACCACGCCTCGCCTGTTCTATCGCCTACTAATATACATAATACATACATATATATATTCATACATCTAACAGAAGAACTGTTATCAATACATAAGAAAATCAATGAACATGGAAGTTAATTCAATGGAGAATCTTATACATTTACCAATCTGTGAGAATGTTATCAGGTGAGTAAAATTTCTGAAATAATATTTTTATCTTGTTTTATGTATATTCTAGACGTTATGGTAAATATACGAAGAAGGTTAATGGAGAACTTGTTAAAGGTTTGAATATGTTAAATTTTCTAAATGAGAATTGAACACTGATAATATTTTTCTTTTTTAATCTAGTAATATACGATTGGTTTGAACGTGAAAATCAAGAACATGCTAAGTATCATGGTCATCAGTACAAATTAGGTCTAACTAAACAGCAATTTGATGAAATGAAAACACTCGTATCACCTATGGGTAAATATCTTCATTAAGGAACAAAAGAAAAAGACTAAATATTGATTTTGTTGTTTTTATTAGGTACATATGGAGAAGAATTATCTTTTGATCAATTTTGCGATATTCTTATACCAGTTATAACTGGTGGTGTAAGTGATCAACATGATGATTATTCAATATGGTTAGCATTTCGTTCATTTGATAAAAATGGTGATCATTATATTCAAGCTGATGAAGTTGAAGCATTAATACGTATTATTGGTAAATCTGTTAGTCGAGAACGTATAAGATATTTTATTGATAAAGTTGATTGGGATTATAATGGTAAATTAGATTATAATGAATTTCGAGAATTTATTGTACGTGGTTATGCACGTGAACTACTTATGATGGATATAACGCGAGAAATTGTTTATTCACATGATCAAATGAAAATACCATCATGAAATTTTTTTAATATAATCGTTGTCTTGTATTTTGTATATTTTTAAAATAAAAATTATAATTTATATAGGAGATTATTTTGATTATCGCTGGAAAAATTTAGAAAAATTGTTTATGATATATATAAATTACTAATGGAATTTTTTTGAAGTGTTATTTGAGATGAACATAATTTTCTTCTTATCATTTGATGTTATTATAATTTCTATGTTTCTTTTTTTATCAATAATTGATTTTCTCTATTTCTATAGAGATTTGATGTTAGTCTCTCATTTATCATTTCATAACACATTTATTTTTATTATGACATATGAAGAAAAAAAAAATATACAATAAAATAACTTAAAGATTTGTACTCGTTTTTGTATAATCAAATAACGAAGTATTTTGATCATCACTTCTACTATATAAACCTCTATTACCAGTTGCTGTTAATGAAACTGTAGCACCAATTGAATTTTCTATTGATGGAATTTTTTCTGGAGATTGATAGTTTCTCCATAAACTCGTTAAAATATTTGATGTAATATCATCACCAACATTTGAATGTATAAGACGTAGAATAAAAAATCCATCTTGTTGCAAATAATCGTAAACAAATGAATGCATATTAGTACGTATTGATGTTACACCTTGTTGTGTACGTGTATGTTGTACAAAAAATGAATAACGAAGACGTGGAAATAATAAAAACATTAACCAAGATAGAAAATCATAAATAGTTATAGCAAGAACAATATTCATCCAAACATATAATACAGTAAAAATTTGTTCGTTATATACATTTATTGTTAATACACCTATGAAAACAAAAACTTTTAGTATAAAAAATATCAAAACGTAATATGAATATTAATGAAAGAATTATTCTTTTCTATAATGTGTTAGATGAGAGTCACCTAAAAGTAAGTCGAATAGATCAATTTTGAGCTTTTTTTATACAATAGAGAAAGCTTTCTTATTAGTTATTGTTATATAAGATATTAATTAGATAGATAAACTGTTTACTCAAAGATTTTCAAAGATAATATATGCATATACTCTTCTAAGATTGTTTTCTACTCCTATAAAATTATCCTTACATCAATATACATTTTCTTTTTAAGTAAATAGAACTATGATAATTATTTATTATTCTTAATATGATCTAAACAATTTCATAGTCTGGATAAAAATTTTGAAATGTATTTATTCTTTTAGATTTTAATTACTTACATTGTACTGTATATTTATGTCCATCATCACTATTTGGTTCAATAATACGAAAATCACACATACTAATTTTTGGAAAATATTTCGATAATGGATTTGAACGTAATATACCTGTAGTAAATATATGACGAAAACTTTTTATTGTATCATCAACAGTCCATTTTTGTTCAAGTAAAAGTCGTATTGCATATAATTGAAAA